TAAATGTTAAGTACTTCATCAGAGCAGCAGATGGGAGGAATTTCCCAACAGGAATACCAAGATCCTGAGTAAGCTATTTGCTACATAATATCAATATATTTTACCCTTATATTCCTAAAATTAGCTGAAATATGATGGATGTAGGATGAAAATCTGCATGAGAGGCTCACAATATTACTACCCAAACTTGATAAAGAGTCTCTACTATTTAAAAAAATAAATGATAAAAGATACTTGCTGGAAACATAATGAAAACAAATCTGTACATTATTGAGAATGGCCTACTTACACTTTTTGCTCAAACTAATAGAAATTGAGTTTATTCATACCACTGAGTAGAAATAATCCAATAACATGAAAATGAAATTGTGTGATTCTAATAGGACACTTGCAATAGACATAAAAGTATAAAATATTCAAGGAAAGGCAATTATGATCTTATTCCATTACGGATTCTTAAGTCTCTGGGGCTCCATTATATATGCACTGATTTTACTTGCTAATTTTATTTTCAAACTTCTAAAACCTCATTTTGAACTTCAAAATCACATTAGATAGACATCTTAGCATACTTTAACCCCCCCAAGTGGCTAGACTTTGGAAGTCTTAGAGACTCCGAAATCAGAAAAGCAATTTTACTATAGTTCAATTTGATTATGTTCTCGAATATTTATAAACTTTTAATTGCATTGTAACCATGAACTCATATATGGTTATTTCTCAAAGCTCTTGCTATATTTCCACCATTATACTGCACTAGCATCATCTTGTGAGTATAGATATCTAAATTTTGTCCTATGTTTTAAGTCACATTCATTTCAGTTTAATACACATTATTTTTCACTTTTTATTGTAATATACCCTTGCTCATGTTATTATTTCTTACTTTTTTTAACCATGCTCAACAAATATCATTTAGTCATTCATTGTAATATTTTAGGCTCATTAATTCTATTTTTATTATTTATATTAAAATTTTCTTCAAACATTGTCATCTTTCCTATTGAAACTGGCTTACAATAAATCTTATTTATTAGCAATATTTAAGTATTCTATTTTCCTATCTGAAAAATTTTGCAATATGTTTTTTTCTGACTTTGGCTTCTCTTTATGAAAGACTTCCTTTTAGGAAGTCAGTAGAGGAGCATATATATGTGTGATACATATTTATAGATGTATGTATATAATATATATGTATGAAAAACATGTTCATCTGTATGAAATATACAAAAAATACCAAACTTTGTTACAAATTACATTTTTATTATGAAAATAAACTTGAATAATCTTAATAAGCATCAACAGACATTGTTCTCCCAGTAGTTATAATCTTTAATTTTTTTTTATTTCTAGATAATTCATTCATTGGAATCTTAGGAGATGAACTGAGCTGTAGAATGTAAGATGTTTGCAGCTGTTTATTTCCCCGTGCTCTTCCTCTGTGTCTACTTTCAGAGTACCTTGAAATGAGCTTCCTCCGGCTCATGCTTCTCTACTGTGATGTTTGCACCTCAAGGCTAATGAAATAGAAAACGCAAGGCTAAATATGTCTTTCTTCTTTCAGATGTTTTTCTCTTGGGTGTTTGTCATAATAATGAAAGAAAAGACTGATATATTATCATTTCTTCTACTATAGAGCTCAACCCTAGAATTGTGATTCTGAGGAAACTTTGAAGAAAACGTTGTGTGGGACTGACTTAGTTTGGGTGTCAGGGTCAATACAAAGTGAGGGCTATAATCAGAAATGTGGCCTACAGGGCACAGATAGAACTGATCCAAGGTAGGCCAAGTTAGTTAAACGACTGTGAATACTGATAAGTCTACTAGAGTTCATGAGCATCGAGAGGAGAGTCAAGAATAAATCTTGCAATGTAAGAACTGCATCTGTTCTTAGAGGTCTATCTCAGATCTAAAGCAGAATGAATAATATGTCCTTACATGGAGAAACCCTGGTGTGGGGCATCGTGACACATCTAGAAATCAATAAATCCAATAGAGTGTGGATAGCCTCTATCACCAGTATCAGAGAATTGCAAAATGAAAGAGAATGCAGAATCATGTATATTTACATGCATGTGACATGCCAGTATATACTAAAAGAAATTCATGAGATGAAAAATTATATGATCTCCTATTGGAATAACTTGAGTGGTATAAGTGATAAGTAATATTAATTGATCTTTATTTTTTTTAAATTGATTTCATATTCTGTCTTAATTATACACTCAGGATTCTATGCTATAAGTAATTAAGCAACTTAAAGATCTTGAAGTATGTTGTAAACTAGTTGCACTAAAGAAACACCATTTATGTTAAATGTCACTGTATTATTAATAAGATTTTTAAAAATCCTACTCATATTTTAATATTAATTAACCAAGTTGAAGATAATTAAATATAGATGGTTAGTCAGTAATAAATTTTAGTATAAAACCACTGCATTGTTTAAGAAACCTAGTTAACTTAGAAAATGCAGTTAAATTAGTTGTAAAATTAATGTAATTATCCACTAGAAAACAATAAGTTTTAGAGAAGTAAGTCACAACAGATTACAGCAAATACTGTTTGAAAACAAACAACTTCATATGTAAATGAACAGTGGAAGATATTTTGAAAAGCCAGAAAAAGAAGTTTTTAGTTTGCACACAAATCATTATTTTACACACCCACAAACTCATATATTTTAGTAACACTGATAATTGATAGATATTAGAGAAAACGGAAACAATTCTGTATGGCTCTTTCATTCTTGAGCAGAAAATGAGAGACTGTAAGATTTCTATGCACATCACATTCAAATTTTATCCTGAAAGAGCTAATGGAAATGTTATATGTTGTAGAAATTAATTTATGGATGCTTCTCAAGCCCCAAAAGCTCTAAATTAACCTTGCTTGAAGGAGAACTCAATGTTCTAATTCATTAAGGCTTCCAGCTGTGCCCAAGTAGAGTGTAGGAGACAATCTTCTTCTATGTGAAGACTCCCAGTGCAAAACTCTTTAGAGTTCTTTTATTTTTTTTTATTTTATTTCTCAAAGGAAAGAAATTTCTTTACACCTGACCAATGACATTCAGTAATTTCCAGCAATAATTCTTTATTAATTTATGAAATAATTTATTATACATGAACCCTAGGAAGTAGCCTGAAACCTTGGCATTGTATTTTACAGTTTTTTATGATATTAACATTTTATCATAGAACATTTTTGTGTGAAGAATGTCATCACTGAAAAGATAAAAATGTCTTACCACTATTGAAACAGTGGTTACACCTTTTCTAGTAGGTCAATATTGTAGCACGCAGGGTCCAGTTCTTGATAAGATCATTGATGTCATCCACCTACCACAGCCCCTTTATAGCACTGCCAAGCACAGTGAAAGCTTGTTTCACAGGAAGAATGCCTGTGAAACATTGTCAAATCTGAGTAAGTCATAGAGGACAAGTAGAAATCCTACTGATATTTTGTGAAAGGATCATGTTGTCAAACTATTTTCTAAAAATTTCTGTATGTATCCCTAGATATCATCTGTTCTCAAATTCAGTCAATGAAGATTCTTACTATGCTCAATAGTGGTTAATCCAGAGACATAATTGTTTGAAGTGTTGTAAACAAATGACTATGCATGCTTGCCTATAAACAGAAAGTCTGTATCACCCCTTTGCTAATCATAGAACATTAGGAGGCAAAAGAAACATAAGAGCAGACAAAATTGAGGATATTCACGATGGTATGACCTAATAATTAAGGCATTTCTCCATGCTCATTACAGAAATATCTAGGTGCAATAGATGATAATTAATACAAATATGTAACAACTGCTTAAAATACAGAGAAGAACACACTATAGAATGGGCAGTCCAAAGTGAAATGTCAATATCACATCCTATTCTCATCATAAAAATTTCAGTGGTCATCATAGAACAATATAAAATCCAAAAGTGGTGGATGGCTAGAAAGAAAAAACATATTCTGGACACAGAATGGCAACTATACAAATGAACTCATCTCAGCTATGACAGCACTCAAAATACCTGTGGAAACTCAAGCCAAACTAATCCCAATATGAACATAGGAAGAGAGTTCAATGTCCCAGTAAGGATTTACTACCAATTAATAACCTCTGGGAATGGAGGAATTCCGTTTCCAAAAATATATCCTCTGGCAAGTCAACCATGCTCTAGTATAATGCAAGACCACATAACCAAGAATACACGGGCAGCACAAATTGAACATAGTGGTGTCAAAACAACAACAACAACATAAAACAAACAAACAAAAGACAAAACAAAGAAAAGACACAAAGAAAGAAAAGAAAAGAAGCCAAAAGTTGGGGTTGATATGAAAGACAATGAGTCTCAAAGCTTTGGGGAAAGGGTTAATATGATCAGAACACCCTGCACAAATTTCTCAACGAAATAATAAGCATACTTTATTTCATTTTATATCTGTTTAGCACCTGTTGCAAATAGTGCCTGCAGATTCAAAAAAGGGATTCAGACCTACTAAGAACAGACTGGCAAGTGGATATGAGCCACTGTGTGGGTGGCAGCAATTGAACACAGGCAACCAATGCTCTTAACATCTGAGGTATTTCTCCAACCCTAGAAATATATTTTTTTCTTTTAATAAAATAGTTCTTTTCTCATACAGTTTATCCTGATTATTGTTTCTCCTTCCTCTACTCTTCCCAATTCTTCCCCTGTCTACTTCCCCTCCGGATTTCTTATTAGGAAAGAACAGGCTTCTAAGAGACAAAAACCAAACATGACAAATTTAAATAAGAGGAAGCAAAAACTATCATACCGAGGTTGGGCATGTCAACCCAACAGGAAGAAAGGAGTCTCAACAGCAGGCAGAAAAGTCAGAGACCCGCTTATTCTCACCATCAGGAGCCCCTTAAATTTATTAAGCTGAAAACTACAATATACACTCAGAGGACCTGGTACAGACCCACGTAGGACCTGTGCTGGCTGTTCCAGTCTCTGTGAGCTCTTCTGTACCTTGATCAGCTGATTCAGAGCAGCTTGTTCTCCTGGTGTCCTCTATCCTCTCTGACTCTTACACTCTTTTTGCCTCTTCTTAGGTTTCCTTGAGCTCTGAGGGGAGGGATTAGAAAGAGACATGCTAATTAGACTCTCCTCACACTTGGATGCACTACCAGTAGCACTTCCTTGCTGTTAACAGAAAGTTTGGGGATTGAAGCCCACCCAGGGACGTCAGAATATACAGGTATTTTTAGCTAGTAAGAATGTAATATCAGAAGATGGGGAGGAGTGCAGTGAGATCGTGTCCTCTGGACAAGGCAACCATCCCTGTATCTAAAACTCAATAATAATGGCAAAAGATAGAGTGGAAAGATTGAAAGAGCCAGAGGAACAAAAAAGATTATTTGTCTAGAAATGTCAGAGAGGCTACATCCATGAGGTTTCATTAACATGGCTGACTTAACAAGACCTGGACAATACAAATGCCAATGGACATACCTAACACAAAAGGGAGAAATTTTCAGCAGGTATGTGGGAGGAGTTTGAGGAAGAAAGGGGGTAGGGATAAATGCTGCAACTAGACTATAATTTCAAAATATAAAAAAGTAAAGAATGGGGAGGAGAGGTGCTCCTGAGGGATGTTCTTATCTCAGGAACTATTGGCAATTGATAACTTTTCTTTGGTAAGTTGACCTACTGGTAGACTGCCCAACATGTATATGGGCATCATTCATTAGAGTCTATGGTGATCTAAGGATGAAGAACAAGGAGGACACGATACTGGGAGGAAGCTCCTGCCTGCATCTGTGGAAGACCACATAGATCTCCTCCTCTAAACTGCCTTGCCCCAACTCACCACCACATCCCAAACATCATCTCCTGTAGGCATTCCCTGAGAGCGCTCTGGACACACAGGCCAGTAAAGCAAGGACGATTACAACTTCTTTTCTCCTTCCAAATTCAATCCCCCACTTTTACCCCAGCTCTGTACCTGGCCACTTCTTTCAGCTTCATCTTCCTCCTCTATGTCCCCCTCTCTGCCTGGTCAAATAGTTGATTCTTTGAGAAAATAAATAAGATTGACAAACTTGTAGTCAAATTAATAAAAAAGCAGAGAGAAGATTTATTTTAATTAAATTAGAGATAAAAGGATGGAAATATCAACAGACATGACAAAGTCCACAGAATTATAAGACATATTGTAAAAACAGTGTGACACCAAGTAGGAGAGTCTAATGGCATGTATATTTTTCTTCATCTTTTTCACATACCAAAGTTAAATATTGGTAAAACAAGCAATTTAACCAGACCTATAACTCCTAGTGAGATAGAAGCAGTCACTAAAAGTCTGCCAACAACAACCGAAGACCAGCACTAGATGGTTTTAGTACATAATTCTACCAGATTTTCAAAGAAGAGTAAATGCCAAGAGGCCTCAAATTATTCCACAAGCTTGAATCAGAGGGAATACTGCCTAATTCATTCCATGATTCCACAGTTTCCTGATACCGAGAGCACAGAGAGACCCAACAATGAAGAGAATTACAAACCAATTCCACCATAATTTTAATTGCAAAATTTCTCAATAAAAGTTCTGCAAACCAAATCCAAAACCTTATCCAACTGATCAAGTAAGCTTCATTCAAGAGATGCAGGGATAGTTCAACATACGTAATCTGCCATATAATCAAACTGCAAGATAAAAACATGATCATCTCATTAAAAATGGAAAATGATTTTGACAATATCCAACACAAGAGATTAGTGATTCAATGTTCATATTTCAAAAAAACACTAGGAGTTTACATGAAGCCCATATCGAACATCAATATTTTTTGGTTTTTGTTTGTTTTGTTTTTCAAGACAGAGTTTCACTGTGTGGCCCTGACTGTCCTGGAACTTATTTTGTGGACCAAGCTGGCCTGGAACTCACAGAGATTTGTCTCTGCCTCCCAAATGCTGAGATTAAAGGCCTGCACCACCTAGAAACTCAAAGCAATTCTACTGAAATCAGGAATAAGAAAGGCTCTTCCACTTTTTCCATACCTAGTAAATATAGTACTTAAAGTCTTAGCTAGAACAACAAAAAAATGAAGAAGGGTTTTTTAAAAAAAATGTATTTGTTACAGTTGTGTAACTTGGTCTTCTTGTGAGACTACTAACAGTGAGAGCATTGGCTGTCTAATTATGTTGCCTGTTTTGGGGACCCAGTCCTCCTATCAGATTCTCTCCCCCAGCCTTAAGAGAAGAGGATGTGCCTGGTTTCACGGCAACTTGATATACCATGTCTGGGTGATATCCATTGGAGGCCCATCCTTTTCTCAAAAGAGAGAGGGGAAACTTTGGTTGGGATGCAAAAACAAACAAACAAATGAAATAAATAAATAAACAAAAATTGAAGGTGATCAAGGGATACAATTTGGAAAGTAAGAAGTCAAAGTATCTCTATTAGCAGATGATAGGGTAGTATACACAATGACATTAAAATTTCTGTGGGGTAGGGGAAGAGAGATGGGTCATTGTTTAAGAACACTGACTGATGTTCCAGAGGACCTGGGTTCAGTTTCCAGGCCATTTGGTGTCTGATCACACCAGGATAAAAAAAAAAAATTCATGAGGAAACTCCTATAACTGATAAATACATTCTTTAAAATATCAGGATATACAACTAATTCAGAAAACATTAGTAGGCCTCCTATATACAAATGACCTGAGAAAGAAATCAAGGAATAACTCCTTGATAAAAAATGTAAGACATTAAGGAAAGAAATTAAAGAAGATATCAGAATATAGAAAGATCCCCGACGCTCCATTGCTCCATGAGCAGGTAGGATTGATAAAGTAAAAATGGCCATCCTACCAAAACAATCTACAGATTTAATGCTATCCCATTGATATTCTACCAAATTCTTCACAGATCTCAAGAGAACAATTTTCAACTTTATATGAGAATATACACACACAAAAACAGCAACAACAACAAAAACACCATAGATAAAACTATGCTGAATATTAAGAGAATTACTAGAGGTATTACCATGCGTGAGCTCAAATTGTACGACAGAGCTATAGTAATAAAAACAGCCTGACACTGGCACAAAAACAGACATGTTGATCCATGGAACATTACTAAAAATCCAGACATAAATCCACACATGTGAACACCTAATTTTAATTTTTTAATAAAAAGTCAGTAATACATAATGGAAAAAGACAATATTTACAACAACTGATGATAGATGTCAGCATGTATAAGAATACAGAGAGATCCATACTTATCACTCTGCACCACACTCAACTCTAAATAGATCAAAGACCTTGACATAAGACCAGATACACTGAACCTGATAGAAGAAAAATTGGGGAATAGTCTTGAACTCATTGGCACCAGAAGGGACTTTCAAAACAGAAAAGCTTTAGCATAGGCACTAAGATAGCACTTAATAAATAGAACCTCACAAAACTAGGAAGTTTCTACATAGCAAGGACTTCATCAGTAGGGCAAAATGGTAGGCTACAGAATGCAGAAAGATTTTTGCCAATTGCACATTTGAGACAGGGTTAATATCCAAATATTATAAAGAACCAAAAAATGATATCAAGAAAATAAAACACAATCTAAATAAAACACAGATCTAAACAGAGAATTCTGAAAAGAGGAAACTCAAATGGCTGAGAAGCATTTAAATAAATGTTCAACATCCCAAAAAATCAGAGAAATGCAAATCAAACTACTTTGTGATTTCATCTTTTATCAGTTAGAATGACTAAGATCAATAAAACAAGTTATAGCTCATGCTGGCAGGAGATAGAGTAAGGGGAACACCCACCCATTGCTTGTGGGAATGCAAACATGTACAGCCTCTGTGAAAATCAATGTGACAGTTCCTTGGGAAGTTAGGAATAGAACTATCTCAAGATCTAGCTTTACCACTCTTGAGCACATATCCAAAGGGTGCTTCATACTCTACAGAGGCACTTGCTCAACCATATTCTTACTGCTCTATTAATAATCACCAGAAAATGGAAACAACCTTGATGTCTGTCAGTGGATTAATGGCTAAAGTAAACATGCAATATTTACCCAATGTGGTATTACTTTGCAGTTTAAAAAAATGAAATAATGATGTTCATGTGTAAATTGATGGAACTAGAGAAAAATCATATTGAGGGAGATAATTAAGACCCAAGTAGACAAATGTGGTAGGTATTTGCTTAAATGTGTATGCTAGATATTAAGAGGAAAACAAGCTCCCTGCAGTCTATAGACCACAATGAATAGGTATAGAGTAATGGATTGGTGGGAAGGGACAGATCTCCCTGGGAAAGAAAAATAGGACGGTTATGAATGAATGGCTAGGGCCTGGAACTTGAATATCAAACAGGGATGAGGATGCTATAAGGGGAACAAGGGTGGAATAGGAGGAAAAACAACTAAAATTAAGTGTCATTTGAGGGGTTGGGTAGAGAACTTATACATTAGATGCTTGCTAAAATGTATACATACATAAAGATGATCTAAATAAAATTTGCAGATAACAGAGAAGACAGAGCCCCATCTGAACATCTCTCATCACCAAATGTAGCTTCACTACTGGCAATCATTTACATCTAATCAAGTTGTTGACCAAAGAGATCTTCAGAGGACCTCCAACAATCCAGGCTGTTGCAAAAGCTACAGGTTGTTCTCCACGAACTGACTGCAAGCCTCCATTGCTGAAGGCACAATTCATTGAAAATGAAGAAGATGAGCTGGTACCTACATAAAGCCATCACCACTACTGACTAGTGATCTTAGTAAAAGTAGGTTCTCTTCAGGCTACCAAAGGAGAAATATAAACAACAATCCAGCTATAAACCCATAAACCTTGTGATCTACAATGGTGTTCTACTTGCAAGACATGCTAGTGCAAGGATGGCACAAAGCTTGTGGGAGTAACTAACCATTGTCTAATTTGACTTAAGGATCATTCTAGAAGATAAAATGCATAACCAATGCTGCCTGGGTGGCCAAAAGTCTGAAGCTAGATAACACAAAGATCAAGGGATAAACCAAACACTACTGTTCTACTAAAGGAATGCAGCAGTAAAAGGACTCATAATGACAGTCT